ACATCATCCGTCGCCGGAAATAAGGCATGTCTTTTTGACTGAAGTTGATCCTCGCGCGTAATGCTCCGTAGTCGGCGAACTTCAATGCGAACACGCCGCAGTCATATCCGTTTTCCTGCTGAGGCAGGTTTTGGACGTACTCACGAGTCCATTGATGACAATCGAATCGGCACTTCTTCTTGTCCGCGAGCTCATGCGCCAAGTATTCTAGCAGGGCCTCGAGACACTCTTCGTTGCGGCCATTCATCGAATCCATGTGTTCGATACGCTTCTGTCTCAAATCAACGACAATCATACTCCAGTGCATTCTTGAATGAACAGGCACGAGGAGCATGTCGTGACCGAATATGTCGTCTCCTCGAGTCCATTGGCGAACGGCCTCGTAACCCATATCGCTCATGTAGAGCTTTAGGAAGAAAGTGTTGAAAGCATAAATTCTCGGCAGATGCGAGCTCGTTCTACTCCGTTCGACGATAAGATTGAGATACACGTTGATGATGACATCATTTAGCCATTCGAAGCCGACGAGAGTTTCAAGGTCTCTCCGAGTGACGATCAGCCGCGATACTTCGACGAGAACTTGATCCGGTGGACCCGAGAGAGCCTCCTCGATTACGTTACCTATCTCATCGGTGAGAGCTGGGATTTGAGGGTTCAATCTGTCACCGATGGCTGTAGCTTTAGCATACCCGTGATCGCCCAACGGGGGCCACGTCGGGACCGAAGTGAGTTTGGGCTGCAGTGCGACTCGCTCGTTCACCCACTCATCCCAGTTTCCTGCGACTTCGGCAGTTAAGCTTCCGTGGCCGTCAGCAAGTCCGTGGCGTACTGCCGCTAAAAACGGAGCCAAAAAACCGAGTATTCAATCACTTCTCTCAGGGGTCAATGACGAAAGACTATAGATATAGACCGATGTTTCATGTTCCTGCTCCCCTCATGACTAATAATGAGCCCGCTTCGGTCAAATGCTGGATAACACACCTCCACCGACTCTGTACTTCACGTCATCGATGAATTGTCGCGCGTGGATCATTCCATTCCGAAGTCGCCCCGAAGCCTCTCTTATTATCCTCTCGTTCTCCTTTGTAGCTCTATTTGGCGTAGAAGCCACACGTCTGATCCCATCAAAGCGTATGCTGACATTGATTGCACTATCCTGAGCAATATTGTTCAACGCGGCTGGAAGTCACGAAATATTCCAATTCGAATCCGATGGAGCACAAAGATGGATCGTTTGCAATCCCATGTGCCGCGAAAAACAAGATTTCGGTGTCAGAATTGGATGGACATACCGATTAAGTTCCATACGGAGGGGTGGGACCTCACTTCGGCTTTCAGTAACGCGTGGAAGGATTCGACACCGTTGTTGGTTCTGCACGGAGCTCCGAAAAGCGAGAGCTCATTGGCACCGATTGTACCAAGCCAATAAGCTTCCATGTATCTCAGCAGCGGTTCAAACTGCGCAGAGGTGACTCGGATTGTATGGAATTTTCCGGATAATTATGCCCCTTTATGCTCTATACCGTTTCTCTGGCTCACCGGAGGGGAATCTCACCTTCGAGGTGGCCTCCAGAGCTTCTTGAGACAGCACTGCGAAAATCGGTCGAATTGCGTTCGCCGGGAGAAGGGGGAGAGCTGTCAGAGCGACGAACTTTTTCAAGATTTCCCCTGGTGTCCTGAGGTCGGCGGCTAGACCGACTTTGGGACCGCTCGCGCGCCGGACGAGTGCCTGAGCGTAATGAAATAGGCACCCGTAGAGCCGGGCGTTGGGGAACTCCGCGCGCACCGCCGCCCGCATAGCCGCATCGAAATCCCCCATGTATGCCCGTAGGATGTCGGCATTCGTTTCTCGCTTCAGGATCTTGAACACCTCTCGATAGGCGTCGGCAGAAGACTCCGTCATGAAAGCGCAAAGAGCCATAGCGACCTGAAGTCAATCGGATATATATGTATGTTGAAGGACAGATTCCTGTAGACTCGAAAAGAGCATGAGGACTTGACGCTCCTCAGTTTTCAATGCTTACATGGCCCTGCCAGTTCCCGTGTATTGAGAATAATTGCTGACAGAAGCTTAGAGGCACCGTCTCGTAAGTTGCATCTGCGTGCAACATCTGGGCTTGGGGGAGGAGGCTCAACATCCGCCGCGTCGTCACGATCAGAGTACCGAAATTCGGGCACAGAAAACTCAGCAGTCTTTCACCATCGTGGGAAATAGTATACCCTTCCACAGCGTTGCCCTCGATTGCTGCGTGTAGTTCTCGAAGATTTCGCACTGGGGACGGTCTTGCCATCGCAGCTTGACGGTTCGCTGTGCGTATGTGACTCACCGGAACAATCTGCTTGGCCGATTCCATCGGGAGTCTGAAACAGTAGCTCGGGCTCGTGACTCCGAGTCGCAATCGGTCATGCAAGGGATTTCTCTTCGTCTCCAACATCAGATTGCGGAGATCAGAGTAGTCACCGTCTGCGGCCTTCCTTAATTGACTTGCTCGGAGGTGCTCGAGGATTGTTACGAATGTCCCGTATCCAACCTCCTCTGCAATTGTATACATCTTTGCCACGACCCCCAAACTCCGCCAGGTGGTTGTGTACGCCTGTGAGCCTGACTATCTCTCCGTCGTCTTTTATCTTCCCTCTTACCCGGCATTTCACCGGCCTGTGGAGATACCCAGGACAGATAACTTCTCAAATCAAGCTTCGGAATCATTGGAGAGGACTTCTCTGCAACATCTCGGCTGTGGGATCAACGTTTCCGAGAGCCGACTCGGATATATACAATGGACTTTCGGTCAGAGGCCCGACGCAGCGTTCGGGCCGGGCCCTGCTGACATGCCTGACTTCTCGGGCTTCGGATAATTAGGACAGGTAATTCCTTGATTCAAGTTCTGAGATAATCAAGGGAAGAGTCCTCTGCACGACTAGATTGTTGAAGATTACTCACTGTTTCCACTTTTTGCAACGAATCGTCATCGTGCCTGTTTGAGGGTTATGCAGCTCCCTATGGAAGAAGTATTCCGAGACGCCCGTTTGTCCCTCAACATCAAAGGATCCGCGAGGATCACACCAAACAGATGAGCCAAAGCGTGCGCTATCGCAGAGAGTCATTTTCTGACCTAAACGTTCCATTTTTACGTTTCTTGTCGTCCACTTCAGTACGACGCCGTCGGCTGCGTTAATGTAAATGCGTGGTAAGCTTATAATGAACTCAAGAGACTTCGGGAGCGGACCCGGAGACGAATACCTGATTCGGAGGAATCGTTTTCTTTCATATAAACTTTTCCCGGATGGTGCCGAACTCAGTTTTCCCCTATGGGGAAATAAATCGACCAAATTTCTTCCTTTTTCTTTTCTCGAAAACGGTGAGATTCAGAGAAGAAGACGCGATGGATGACCCACCTTCGTTTGTCCGAATCCTTAAGTCCCGTTGCGTGTCTCAGAGCGTTACTCCGGGACTTTTCCCCTACGGGGAAGTTTCTCTCTGAAGGTTTGGAATCGGAAAATGTAATGTAAAGGGGAGCCGGAGCTTCCAGGAAAGATTCGCTGCAGTTCCCGAAGGATTCGCGTGAATATACAGCGTCGATAAAAGGATACGTGTTAGCCGTCGATAAACTTCACGGAATATAAGCCATTTAACAGCGAAAGGTCGTTGCGCTGAATTTTCGAAAATTTGAATTACGCGCGCTTCAGCACTCGCTGACGGAGCATACATCCGCCATATTGAATCCTACCCTATGGCACAGTCTTAAGAGCGCCCCCTGGTGATTGACGGTGGACCAATCAGAAGCGTTGTACATGAGATTGTCTCATATCGCGTGACTGATATAATGGTTGTGTCAGGCATGTTTGATATGAAGAAACCCTTATAATGGTCTTTGAGGCATGTTTGATATAAAGAAAGCCTTACAATGGTCTTTGAGGCATGATTGATTCAACGATGCCCTTATAAGGGTTTTGCTAGGCATGTTTGATGTGAAGAAACCCTTATAATGGTCTTTGAGGCATGTTTGATATAAAGAAACCCTTGTGATGGTTTTGAGGCATGATTGATTCAACGATGCCCTTATAAGGGCTTTGCTGGGCATGTTTCATATAAAGAAACCCTCATAATGGTTTTTGAGGCATGTTTGATTCGACGATGCCCTTATAAGGGTTTGCTAGGCATGATTGATTCAACGATGCCCTTATAAGGGTTTGCTAGGCATGTTTGATTTGACGATGCCCTTATAAGGGTTTTGCTAGGCATGTTTGATATTAAGAAACCCCCTATAATGGTTTTTGAGGCATGATTGATTCAACGATGCCCTTGTAAGGGTCTGCTAGGCATGTTTGATTCGACGATGCCCTTATAAGGGTTTTGCCAGGCATGTTTGATATTGTAAGAACGCCGCAGATCAATTACGAGAATGATCTCTTTGTTTTTGCTACCATTTTTCGCTCTGATTTTAATTCTAGCGATGGTGTTTGGTTTGATAGTGATGCTGTGGATAGAATAAAATTTTTCTTTAGTGAAATTCTCGTCGTCAATTTCTTGATCGTCTTTTCCGGCGTTTTCCGGGTGTGTGTCATTTAGTGTTTCATCCGGACAGTCTAGATTTTTAGGAGTGGGATCGAATTTACCATCGTAATGTTGTCTCTTTAGAGCTAGCGTGTTTCCATCTAAGCATATAGTTGCCCCGTAGGTTCTCAAGAAATCTTCTCCTAACATTAGGTCTTCTGACAGGTTGTCAATTATGACGAACTCATAGGGGACAAAATTCTGACATTCATTTAGACGGATCATGAGTACGCACGAGCCCTTGGAGATAATCGCCGACCCGTCAGCGGACGTAATGCTAAGGTTTTTGGACGGACGAAACGTAACATGGTGACTTGCCAGGAACGTTGTACGAACCGCTGAAATGTCGGCCCCCATGTCTGCCAGGGCGATTGTCTTTCCGTGCTTGCTGACTTCGACGATTATTTTGTTCCTCCGGAGCGTCGCTGCGCCCTCGAGCCCCGGATTGGGCTCCGAGAGCAGCCTCGCTAGTTTCCCGAACGGGTCTTGGAGTTCAGGGATTGGTTTTGGTCAGCAGAGCTCACAGGTTTCACTGCTGGGTAGCCACGTTGTTGTTTCAAGCAGTACTTGATTATGTGTCCTTCGAGGTTGCACCAGTTGCACAACGGTATTCCATCAGGAGTTCTTCTGTTGCCGGAGAAGAAGGGTCCACTTGTTATTCTTTGGGCGTGTTGAACGTAGATCGGGGTCTTCCTTCCCGGTGATCCGGTATTCGGTGGGTTGACAGATCGCGTCGGATCGGAAGGCCGGAATTGGCCAACGGAATATCCACGCTCAGAGGAGCGGGAGCGCGAAGTTCCGGATCGGTTGACCGCGTTGATGGCCGATGTATCTGTGTCCCTCTGATTGACGAAGGGAATCGTGCGATCGAGGTATGACATGTGAGCTCTGAGTTCGGCAATCGTTTTTGGTGCCTTGCTCACCAGTGTCATAGCCTGATCTCGTGGAAACGTCTGGATCACTTTCCGAATTGTCTCGTCTTCACTGAGTCTGGAGTCGAGTTTTCTGCACAGCTTGAGGACGGACTCGAGATGTCCGGTAAATGATGTGCCTCTCTCGTAGATTAATCTCTTCAGTTTCTCACGTGCTTCTTCGCTGATTTTCGTTGTATCAGCGAAGCGGTAACAGAAATTCGTTTCGAGCCTTTCCCACTGGTCGACCTGATCATCTTCATTGTCGAACCAATCGAGGGCTTCTCCAACAAGGCAGAAGGGAGCGTTCGCGAGCATTTGGGTTTCGGTGTGCCCGTTGAAGCTCGCCACGCGTTTGAACTCGCGCAGCCAATCTGACCTGCCATTGAATTTCGGAGGTTCCTTCTGTGTTTGCACGACTAACGATTGCATGCGTTGAGAGATTATTGTTGGAGTAGGATCCACCGACGGTGCGAGTTCGGGCGGTGAGCATGCTACCCCTAGGTCGACGTTGATTGCTGCCGCAGTCATCTCTTGGCTTCCTTGCTTGGGTCGCACGGAGAACGTTACTCCGTTGGTCTCTTCACCAGGATCATCAACTTGTTGGCCGGTGGTTCTCTTCGCAGCGCTAGCCGCGCGTGTGCACGGAGGCGAATGTTGTACCGGCGGCGCCATGACTTGCTCGTTTCGCTTATTCACTACACTGCGTTGGGATGTTGATGTAGAGCATGGTTGGGGAACGATCCACAAATCTCCACCAAGATGTAAGAACGCCGCAGATCAATTACACGTGGGCCACAAGAAGTTTCCGTCCCTTTATTCCACACTCGATGCCTTACCGGCAGTACGAGCGTCTCGAACAGAACTGCCTGCGAGAGCCCGACGTTACAAGTTTCTCTGTTCCTCCTCTCTCCGTTCATCTCTCGAAGCGCGCTATTCAAGCGTATCGATTGATTCTTGATGAATATTGTCCGTTTCACCTTCGGCTCTAGATACTGAAGACCTCAGTCTGTAACGGTCACTGACCGGTCACCACTTAACCCGTTCACAGTGTTTTCAGCATGACCCATATTCGGATGCTCTTCTGTGTTCAACCCTTTCCTGTGACTCGCTATATATAAGGACAATAAACCTCAGCCAGCTAAGGGGGAGCCCAAGACTGACTCTAGTATTCCGTGTGATCATTCTAGCCGAGGTATCAACGAGATACGTATATCTCTTCACCGTTATCAGCACGAGTTGCTCAGAAAGATAAGTGATACCGTGAACCGAAGTGAAGTGTCCATCCACAATGTCCAATCCTTCGACTTCGAGAGAAAACCCCCTCTACGGCTACGTCCAAGTTGGCGAGGACGACGACGGCGGAAACACCCCGGTATGCGACAAAGACGAACCAACCTCATGCGGTCCACGACCCAGAGTGGTTAGCAGCATTATCCTGGCTGCTGACGGGAAGAACTACATCGCCTGGAAGACCATCATCCCATCGGTTCTCGACGGCGAACCGTTTGCCTGGGATGTCACCCGAGGACGCCTCAACCCACCGGATCCAGAGAAAGCAAAGACGAAGGAAGGCAAGAAATAGAAACAGGAATTCACCATCGGAAATCGAGCCGCACGATACATCCTGATCAACTCGATCCACCCCGACCTGGCTGTGACGTTGTTCTTGGACAACGCAGAAGACATTGGAGCCCAGGAGATTTGGAGAAGAATCCGGATCAGATTCCAACAATCAGACGGCACCAAGAAGAACCTGTCCGTCGCCAAATTCCTGCGCTACAGATACCAGCCCGGATCGACTGTGTCAGAGAATCTCCTAAACTACAAGAAGATCGTTTATGAGATGAACCAGTCAGGATTCGCGCTCGATGATGACCTGGCCACTTCCCGTCTGCTTGAATCTCTGCCAGCGTCCTGGGAACCCTTCAGGCAAGCTTGGAGTGCCCGTACCGACAAGGATAAACAACTGGATATCCTGACGGCTTCCATCCAAGCTGAGGCGTTGGCCGAGCTTGAACGGAGCTTCGCTGAGAACACCATTGTCGATCGAGATTTGAATATGTACTGACTGAATCTAAATCGATCGACTCGCGCGGAATAGGCACCACTGCTCGCGCTCTCATGAAACGAGAGCTGTTTAGGTTGACCCTCCAGAACTCTTCTCGAAGACTCCAAAGAGCCGACAAGAGTATCAATAACATTAGCTACATTCTCAGGTTTCAAGTAAAGCCACTGATCAACCCCATTTTATCAAATACCTTGATAACACGTGAGAATCTGGAGTAAATTGAATTACGATAGCTCCTGTAGGTTACCCGAAATCAATGTGCGTTTATTTTTTTTGGGGATGCATCAATTGTTGAAGCAGGTGTATATTTTAGATTGGGCACAAGCCCCAATCATCGTCCCCACTCGGTAATCTTGGGGCGTACACAACGCCTCCTCCGGAGCAGGCTCGTCTGAGCGCGAGATAACGCAGGCTCCCGCAGCCTTGGAGCTGCAGATTCGCACTCCATCGCCCCGAACACATGAGTAGGAGCTCAACTCCAGCATGACGTCTTGAGACCGCATTACAGGGTAAACGGTTCGGTCCGGTTCCCAAAGGCCTGTATCAATCAAGACATATTATGAGAGCAAAAAAAAAACGGGACATCATTATGGCGATGTAACCCAGTCATCCCGGATACACAGATAAACGACTCAACGTCTCAAAAATCGAGACTTCAAGATTACCTTTCAACATGCCCATGATCAGAGCAAGGAGCAGTAGTACCATCAATAGGTACTTCAGCAACGCCCACAGCCGGCTTCCAAGGATCACGCCCAACAAGTGGGATAAATGGGACGCCGAGCTGTGCTCACTACTCCTTGAGGAGGTTCCACGTTCCTCATCACACGCAGGTGCGGTGGGGGTTTCAACACAGACCATTCCAACGGCTGCGCTTAGATGGGACTTCACAGATTGAAGGGCAGAACTTGAGCTCTTAGACATCTCCTTCTTGGAGACTTTGCGCTTCGAGATCGAAGACATCGGAAATGATGAATGAGCTAACGGTGACAAACACCCCTCTTTAATAGGCAAACCCCGAGAGGGTAAATTAGAGAGTAAGAAGCGACAAAGAAGCGACAGAAATTATCGCTAATTTTCGATCTCGAAGTCGTTGCCGAACGACTGACATATCTCATGACAAGTTTGACAAAAATATGGTAAGCTCAGATTCTGAGCAAGTGACATCGAGGTGCAAATCGTCTCCAGATATCAGGAAATAGTAGCAATCAGAGCGTCTCTACTGTGCCTCAAATGTCCCTTATCTCAAGCGCTCGACAAATCTGTCGAATCTACGAGTCTCTGACTCGAGTCTGGCTGACTCGTCGGAAATAACTCAAAATTCTCATCGCATGCGAAAC